CTCCCAGAATTCCCCAGCCAGCATTCGCTGGCTGGGGAATTCTGGGAGTTGAAGTCCAGACATCTTCAAGTTGCCAAGGTTGAGAAACACTGATCTGGGTGAGATCTACAATTCATTTCTCACAGTACTTTTAATATAAAGCTGGTGGATTTTCCTTTTGTCTTGAGTCACCAACTGCTTATAATTAATATTAATTCCCCCAAGCTCATAGAAGGAAAACAATACTCATTTGCATTTGATAATCAGATAAAGTTCCCCCTGTATTGGAGTTGTATGTTTATTGTCCCATATTCTTCCCTCTATCAAATAGTAGTAACAACATTAGTAGTATTAATAGCAATAGGGTGAATATTGTTGGTTTGCATGGCAAGCCTTTTCTCATGACACACTATAATTTTGAAGCCATGCAGGAATTGGCTGGCAAGGAGTAAATGGTTGCAGATTGAATGTTTTTAATGTAGAACTGCACCATGTAAAAATGTCATAGATGTCTCAAGAGACAGATTTGCTGCCACAGAGAAGCACATAGGGTTAAGCGCTCAGTATGAGGCAAGAATAAGGGTGTTGTTTTTGTTAATAGGTGCTTGCCTTTACCTCATCCTTCTTGGAAATGCCCTCTGCATGCAAAGCCTTCAGCTTTTTAAAGTACACGGAGTCCAGCTGTCGAATTTCTTCCACCAGCTCCACCTAATAAAATAATAACGTCTGTCATCAACCCAGTACACATCACGGAATGAAAGATGAAGGGGTAGGAGAGGAAAGCTGCCAATGACAGTGGGTAGAAAAGAACCACACTTGCCAGGAACAAGACAAATGTTTAGGAGACATATCTCTGCATGTTGCATTTCCCTCAGACCAGATGATTCAAGGAGAATATTTGCTGAAACAGCTAAAGCAACAAATATTGTGTTCATCCATTTGGCCACTTCCAGAATCAAGAAAGACTTGTGGAGTTGCTTCTGAGTAGTTTCCTTTGTTGTTCCTTATCTACCATGTGTCAGGGTTACAAGTAGGGCCCAACAGAATCAAAACTCCAAGGCAGGCAAGTTCCTTAAAAAATAGATTCATTAGGCACGTCATATTGGCACATCTGGGGAAACCCGACTCTGAACCTCCTAATTCAAAATAGTTTTCCCTCCCCTGACCAAGCCGTCCATCACATGGTCCAATCAGGTCACAGTCCAAGGTCACTCCATCTCTGACCTCAACTCCTTGCACCTAGTGGGAAAACTCTTGGTTCTCAGAACGACTTTTATTACAGCTAAAATTCCCTAGTTATCTCTTCCTTCCTTCTCCCGTTTCCACAGCTCAACTTTCTTTGCTGTGGCAGCCCTGAAGTGCCCAGGGGGGAAATGGCTCCAGGGCTAACACTATTTTTCCCTGAAAATAAAACCCAGTTTTATTTTCTTTTGGGCCCCAAAATAAGAACCAAGTCTTATTTTGGGAGCGTGTCTTATCTGCTTACCTTAGTATCACTGCAGCTAGGCCTCCCACGCCCGACACCTGTCGCGCTGCTGCCTGATTTCTTCTGTGGCCGCTCATGCCCGCTCATGGCCAGATGCCACATTGCTCATTACACTGGTGTCGCCACTCATGGCAGCAGGCCAAATGTCGTGTTATGCCATTGCACATGCAAGCGGCAGCACTAGTGCAACATATCACACAGCATCCTGCCACGGGCGGAGCACTGACACAATGCATCATGTGGTGTTCAGCCATGAGTGGCCACAAGCAAGAGCAGAAGAAGTTGGCCAGCGGCGCAACAAGTGTTGGGGTATTGGAGGCCCGGCTGAGGTGGTCTGAAGGTAAGCAGGTGCGGGGCACATGGGGCAGCTCAGTCTCACACCCAAGCTTGATTTTTTACACATGCACCTTGTACAACCAGATGGTGGGGGGCTTAACTAGGGTTTATTTTTGGGGTAGGGCTTATAGTAGGCACAGGCGTAAAAATCAGTCTACGGCTTGTTTTAGGCATAGGTCGTATTTTTTTGGTGGGGAAACACGGTATAGATGGAAATCTTGCCAAACTAGTTGCATCACTGTAGATATACTTTGGAAATTGTTAAGGAGCAGTTGTTTTACCCAATTCCTCCAGACCTTCCATAGTATGCCCTCTGGAATGCAGCCCCTCCCTCCCTCCTGGGAATCCAGACTACATTCCACCACAGAATCTCAGGTATGGAGAAATATCCTCTCATTTTCAAAGAAAACTGGCAAAGTCACTAGCGGTGTCTGCATACTAATTGATACATTTTATTTGTTATCTTTTTTGTTTTGCATGAAAAACAAAAATTAATATAAATTCACCAGTTTATTTAATATGGACTAACAAGTGCATTTATTTATTTGTTTGTTATAAAAAAGATGCTAAAAGCACTAAAAAGAACATTGCTACTTCCGATAGTGAATAGCAGTGGTGGGTTCTGGCTGGTACGGCCCGGTACGGGCATATTTGTAACAGCCGGGAGCAGCAGCCACTGTACTGGTAAGCAGCTGGGTGTTGCAGGGCCAGTGGAGTGTGCATGCGTGCGCAGCAAGCATGCACAACCAGGACTCCCGGCCCTGTGTGCAGGGTACCGGTAACAACGGGGAGAGGAACCCACCACTGGTGAATAGGTAGTTGGGTCTATTGGGACTACAAGCAAATAATCTTTACTGAAACATTAACAAGTTTTGAGATTATTTGTAAGCTACCTTGGCAGGAGTTGAATCCAGAAATTTGAATTGCAAATAATGTTGATAAATAATAAACAAATAAAACAGGAGCACCAAAATATAGCATAGGTATCAGCATGTTGGGGAAAATGATAAGGTCTGTTCAATTACAAAGGAAATCCTAAAAGCTTAAGGAGGGGAAACTTAACTAAAACTGAAAACGTAAGGAGAAAAAATTTAAAACTTGCACTTTGCTCAATAATCATGGAATTGGAAAAGAAAATAGAAGAATGGATTACTAACTTGGACAGAAAGGCTGATTGATCTCTAAACAGGAACACTCTGCAACATTTACCAAAACTTAACGTTCAAATGGTTGTAATTAAGCAATTGAAAAATATTTTTTCATTGAAACTGCTATTCTTGCTAGCAAAAAGGAAGAAGTAATTGCTAATATCACCTCCTTTGAAATGCTGCTGGGAAAAAGCATCCTAAATACTTGATTCGAAGTACAAGCTGAAGAGTATAAAGGCAGCTGGTAATATTGTTTTGTTTTGCAGAACTATCTGCCTACAAATTACCTTGTATCACTTTGTTTTGTTTAATTGGCATAGCAATAAGCCTTCAGTTAAAAATTGCCAAAGGGCAGTCTTTTATATTTGAGCAAAGGATTTGGCAGGAATATGGAAGAATGAAAAACGCAGACTGTTTCCCTAATGATGATAGGAATGGAATCGGGGAGCGGGGGGGGGGGTATTCACTTACTTTCCCTACCGGCTCGCAAATGTGAGTGCACATGCCCCGTCCATGCATGCGCTAGACCTTCCATGCATGCACTTTGGCTTGAAAATGTGCCTAAATAGGACAGCATGGAGCCGGGATGGGTGAGCAGGGCAACTCACAGTTTCCACTACCAGTTCAGGCGAACCGGTCCAAACCGGCTGAATGCTACCTCTGAATGGAGTAAAGTCAAACAAAGGAGATGCTGAAAGGGAGGTTAGGTCATAGTTAGGAAGATCAAGACAGGCTTCATATGGAAGGATTATATACATGGTGGAGCAAATACTAACATGTTAATAACTTCAATTTTAATATTTATATTATTATTATTATTATTATTATTATTATTATTATTATTATTATTATTATTATTTGAGTATTATT